CAGCTATTTGGCAGTGTGGCCGGATACAAACTCAATGTGCAGAAGTCAGTGGCATTTCTTGTTTTTTTTTTTTTAAGTTTTTATTTTTCTATCGTTTAAAAATAATACATTTATTTTTTATTGGTGTTCAATTTGCCAACATACAGAATAATACCCAGTGCTCATCCCGTCAAATGCCCACCTCAGTGCCTGCCACCCAGTCACCACCATCCGCCGCCCTCCTCCCCTTCCACCACCCCTAGTTTGTTTCCCAGAGTTAGGAGTCTTTATGTTCTGTCTCCCTTTCTGATATTTCCCACACATTTCTTCTCCCTTCCCTTATATTCCCTTTCACTATTATTCATATTCCCCAAATGAATGAGAACATACACTGTTTGTCCTTCTCCGATTGACTTACTTCACTCAGAATAATACCCTCCAGTTCCATCCACGTTGAAGCAAATGGTGGGTATTTGTCATTTCTAATGGCTGAGTAATATTCCATTGTATACATAAACCACATGTTCTTTATCCATTCATCTTTCAATGGACACCGAGGCTCCTTCCACAGTTTGGCTATTGTGGACATTGCTGCTATAAACATCGGGGTGCAGGTGTCCCGGCGTTTCATTGCATCTGTATCTTTGGGGTAAATCCCCAGCAGTGCAATTGCTGGGTCATAGGGCAGGTCTATTTTTTAACTCTTTGTAGAACCTCCACACACACTTCAGAGTGGCTGCACCAGTTCACATTCTCAGTGGCATTTGCATACACTAACAATGAGACTGAAGAAAGAGAAATTAAGGAGTCAATCCCATTTACAATGGCACCCAAAAGCATAAGATACCTAGGAATAAACCTAACCAAAGAGGGAAAGGATCTATACCCTAAAAACTATAGAACCTTTTTGAAAGAAACTGCGGAAGACACAAAGAGATGGAGAAATATTCCATGCTCATGGATTGGCAGAATTAATATTGTGAAAATGTCAATGTTACCCAGGGCAATTTACATGTTTAATGCAATCCCTATCAAAATACCATGGACTTTTCAGAGAATTAGAAGAAATTATTTTAAGATTTGTGTGGAATCAGTAAAGACCCTGAATAGCCAGGGGAATTTTAAAAAAGAATACCATAGCTGGGGGCTTCACAATGCCAGATTTCAGGTTGCACCACAAAGCTGTGGTCATCAAGACAGTGTGGTACTGGCACAAAAACAGACACATAGATCAATGGAATAGAATAGAGAACCCAGAAGTGGACCCTCAACTTCATGGTCAACTAATATTCGATAAAGGAGGAAAGACTATCCACTGGAAGAAAGACAGTCTCTTCAATAAATGGTGCTGGGAAAATTGTGGACATCCACATGCAGAAGAATGAAACTAGACCACTCTCTTGCACCATACACAAAGATAAACTAAAAATGGATGAAAGATCTAAATGGGAGACAAGATTCCATCAAAATCCTAGAGGAGAACACAGGCAACACCCTATTTGAACTCGGCCACAGTAACTTCTTGCAAGATATATCCACGAAGGCAAAAGAAACAAAAGCAAAAATGAACTATTGGGACTTCATCAATAAGAAGCTTTTGCACAGCAAAGGATACAGTCAGCAAAACTAAAAGACAACCTACAGAATGGGAGAAGATATTTGCAAATGATGTATCAGATAAAGGGCTAGTTTCCAAAATCTATAAAGAACTTATTAAACTCAACAGCAAAGAAACAAACAATCCAATCATGAAATGGGCAAAAGACATGAACAGAAATCTCACAGAGGAAGACATAGACATGGCCAACACGCACATGAGAAAATGCTCTGCATCACATGCCATCAGGGAAATACAAATCAAAACCACAATGAGATACCACCTCACACCAGTGAGAATGGGGAAAATTAATAAGGCAGGAAACCACAAATGTTGGAGAGGATGCAGAGAAAAGGGAACACTCTTACACTGTTGGTGGGAATGTGAACTGGTGCAGCCACTCTGGAAAACTGTGTGGAGGTTCCTCAAAGAGTTAAAAATAGACCTGCCCTACGACCCAGCACTTGCACTGCTGGGGATTTACCCAAAGATACAGATGCAGTGAAACACCGGGACACTGCACCCCGATGTTTATAGCAGCAATATCCACAATAGCCAAACTGGAAGGAGCCTCGGTGCCCATCGAAAGATGAATGGATAAAGAAGATGTGGTTTATGTATACAATGGAATATTCCTCAGCCATTAGAAACAACAAATACCCACCATTTCCTTTGACATGGATGGAACTGGAAGGTATTATGCTGAGTTGAGTAAGTCTATCGGAGAAGGACAAACATTATATGGTCTCATTCATGTGGGAAATATAAATAGTAGTGAAAGGGAATAAAGGGAAAGGAGAAAAAATAAGTGGGAAATATGAGAAAGGGAGAGAGAACGTGGAAGTCTCCTAACTCTGGGAAACAAACTATGGGTAGTTGAAGGGGAGGAGGGCAGTGGGTGGTGGTGACTGGGTGGCGGGCACTGAGGTGGGCACTTGACGGGATGAGCACTGGCGTTATTCTGTATGTTGGCAAATTGAACACCAGTATAATATAAAATTATTATTAAAAAATAAAATAAAAAGGTGGAGAGGAAAGATGAGCTGGCCATAGGCCTAGGGACATGACCAACAACACTGAGGGGAGTTCTCTGAGTTGTTTTGGTGTTTGGAGGGAGTTTTGCTTCATATATCCCAGACCAGATGCTGGAGAAATCAGCAACCCAGAAATTTCAATGGCCACAGACCAAAAAAAAAAAAAAAAAATCAATAACAGCCTGCTTCGTCTAACCAAAGAGCCAAAAGAGGGACAGCCTAGCACAACACAAAACTTTTAGACAACAACTGCTCTATTCCAGTCAAACATCACAGGAAAAAATGACAGCCCCACTTCCATCAGCAAAGATCCAAGTGGGAGCCTTGACTTCTAGGTAGAATATGGTACTCATCATTTCCAGTTGAGGTGTGATAGAGAAGGCTTAGTGGAAAGTAAGTGGTACTCTGCTTGGTGGTAATGAGACCCCCACCCCATCTTGTCTGTGAAGGCCATGTGGGCAGCAATAACAAGGCATCTCTCTCCTTCTCTGTCAGGGTGGTGTCAGACCACCAGCAATGAGGTGCTTCTCTTCCCTCAGTGTGTGAATGGAGATGGTATGGATGGTGGGGGTGGTGGAAATCTGGGATTCCACCCAAACCACTCCCCAGCAGTAAGGAAGCAATGCATTCCATTTCCTTCAGTGGTGCAGTGTCAGGAGAGGTAACTGAAAAAGACTTCGATGAGACCCAGAGTTTTGTAACCTATACCTTGAATGCCTGGGATTCACTCTGAAATCCCTTCTTATAAAAGAAATAAAATTTCAATGTGATGAGAAAAGACAACCAACAGACACTAAGAATGAGATGATGCAGATGGAATTATCTAAAAGCATTTTTAATGGATCCATTATAAAAGTGCTTCAACCAGCAATTACAAATATACTTGAAACAAATGATGAAAATAGAAAGTTTTGGTAAAAAGCAATACAAAACAAAGTCTCCAGAAAGAAACAAGATTCAAGGAAGACCCATGTGGAAACTTTATAACTGAAAAAGTACAATAGCCAAAAAAACCCAAAACAAATCAATGAAAGGATGAATAGCAGAGTTAGAGAGGGAAGAGGAAAGAATCTGTGAACTTGAAGAAAAAACATGGAAATTAGCCAGTCTGAACAAGAGAGAGTAAATTCGTTGGGGAAAAATCGAACAGAGCTTCAGGGGCCTGTGGGACTGTAACAGAAGATCCTCCATTCATGGCATCAGGATATCAGAGGAAAAGAAGAGAGTGGGGCTGAAAGCATATTTGAAAAAAAAATCATGGCTTAAAATTTCCCAAATTTGCCAAAAGATAAATCCATGTATTCAAGGAGCTGAGTGAACTCCAAATATAATAAACCCTAAGAAACCCACACCAATGTGCATCATAACTCAAAGACTATAAAGCAAGGAAAAGCCTTGAAATAAACAAAAGATAAATGTCACCCTGTATACAATAAAAACAATTTGAATGACAGCAATTTCTCATCAGAACCAGAGAAATCAGAAGAAAGTGGTACATTTTTCAAGTGCTGAAAAGAACCATCAACCCTGAATTTTACATCCAGCAAAAATATCCTTCTAGGATGTGCCAACAAACTTATCCTAAAAGAATGGCTAGTATTTGAAACAGAAAGGAAATGATAAAAGAAAATGCAATGGGAGAAAAGATCCAATTTTTAAAAGTAATCAAAAGAAAAAAGACCTGTGATGGTTTCCAGTGGTTCTCAGAATAGAACCCAGTCTCCCTTCCTCAAGCTTCAAGGCCCTAAAATAATTAACTCCTCTTTCCCTCTCTGGTCTCAGCTTCCTCCATCCTCTCCCCTGCTCATTATGCTCAGGCCTCACTGGCCTTTCACTTCTTCAGACTTACCAAGCTCCTTCCTGCTTCTGGGCCTTTGCTCATGCCGTCCCCCTGCCCCCATCCCCACCTCAAGCACTCCTGCATGCATCCCCCCCACCCTCCCCTCGCACCATCCCCTGCCCCCTGTGATCCTCAGAGAGGAACTTTCTAAACCCAAATCTCAGTATCTCCTGAAATTCCTTTCAATGCACCCTGTGCTTCTGTATTTTAAAAGATACCACAATTTGTAGTTAAAGGTCCCTTTTTTGGTGTGTTTATCTGCTCTTCTGGACTATGCATATCCCTGTGGGCAAGAATCATGTTTCTCTGACTCATCACTGCACCTAGGACCTGCCAGACCTTCAGTAAATGCTTGAATGAATCAGTAAGTCAACTAGAGGCAGGGTGGAGAGTCAAGTCTCTGGGAGGAAGAGCTGCGTCCTTGAAGATGATCTGTGCTGAGGTCGGTACTGGTCTTAGGCATCTGTCACTACAGACCAGAGTCCAGTGACAGCAAGTTTTACTTGTTTAAAGAAGTGGCTGTGTGGCCTCTGGAACACACCAGACCCACCTGAGGTACAGAACGTGGAGCATGGGTTAGGCCAAAACTGTTTCATCCAGAGGGGTAGGACACCAGGCGTGCTCCACATGTGCAGGTAGGTGGAGATCCGGCTGGTCTGGATGGCCACCAGATTGCCACCAACACCTGGGAGGAGGAAAAGAATGTTGTTTCTCCTCCCTTATTGTAAGTCTATGTCCTCCAGGAAGCCTTTCTTGACTGATTCAGCACTGTATCTCTTCTTCATCCCTACCACTTGGTCACAGATCTTGTTTGGCCCCAAGCAGGGTAAACTGGACTTTGTGAGTGAGGTATCAAGGTGATAACTGCATCACCTTGACAGCTAACTCTTATGGTGAGGGAAGTATGACTGGCAAAGTAGGTTTTTAACATGTATGTGTTGGGCAAAGGGATGAGTGTGAAGGGGGAGGGAGGATGGAGGACAGTGATGGGAAGGTCTATGGAAGGTATCTTGATGTGCCACTCAAGGAACCAGATTACAGACTGGAACATCTGAGATCATGAAAGGATATTTTTTACCCTAAGGTGGGAAGGAGACAGAAAAGAAAGTGGGGGACAGCAGCAAGGAAGAGGAGAAAACAGATGCAATGGGTCTGGGGCTTATTGCTGAGGCCCCTGCTTCCACAGTGAGCAGACTGTGCCCACTCTGACAGGACCACGGGGCCCAGGTGACAGAAACTATGCCAAGGTACCTCTTCAGGGCCAGGATTTGGGGCTGGCCGAGAATGGGGCCAACCCATAGCCATCTCTTTTAGAGGGTGGGCGGACTGCCCCCATTCTATTTCCTCAGCCCCCTGGGGAACAACCCCTCACTGGGCCAGATATGCCCCAGTGAGCTCCAGAGGGGGAAACCAACTGCCCTGGATACAAAAAATGGTCTATGGGCAGAGCACAGTTGCAGATCTATCTTGCTAGACCCTCACGATTAAAAAAAAATGAAAAAACTTTTAAGAAGTAACTCACATTAATTGTTAGCTTCTCCTAACAAGTCAGGTCAGGCCACTCCAGACCTCCATTCTTGCCAAGCAGCTACTTCCTGGAGCTGAGCAGGCCCCACTCTGTCCACACCAGGAACACATGCTGCAGTGTGAACTGTTCCCTGCTACTCCTTACCACCCGGTTACTGTCACACCTGCTGAGCACATTCAAACTACTCATGTGACCCCAGAGGCATCTCACTTGGTGACATCCAAGGAAATCTTTCCAGGTTTTAAACAGTGGGGCCTTATCTGTCTACTGCTGCCCTGTAGGTGGCCAGCCCCTTGTGCTGGGAGAAAACCTGCTGGGTGGCCCACTGACATGCAAGGAACAATCACCAGGGCTCCCACAGAAGTAAGGAGAAGGAGTGCTCAAGGGTCTTTGAAGCCTGTTTCTGCAGTCCCAGAGCACCAGGGCAAAGTGCACAGTAAGTCATCATGTTTGGTTCCTCTCCCAACCAGCTGGTCCCATTTACAGATCCTTATCAGAAGCTGGACATGAACCAAGCTTTGTTTAAAAGAGAGGTCCTCACCACAAATGCCCACAGAGTCTAAGCCTAGAACGTGAATCAGTGAAGGGTCAGGTGAAAGACTATGGGGAATGGAGGCGATTCAGGCAAAGTCGTCAGCACAAGTCGTCTCTCAGGAGGAGCTGATTCTCACCTCACCCAGAGCATAAATTCATTATTGTCATAGCCTTACTTTTTAAGGAGAAGACTGAAGTCCACATTTTTATGTACAAATGTCTGAGTTTTGAATATCATCAATGAATCTAAGTTTAAAAACATATAAAGCCAAACCATGACACCCCAGTTCTGAAGCCACCTGCAGTCCGCAGGAGCCAGTAAACCCTGGCTAAGACACTGTGTGCTTTCAAGGTGGGGGATTTAGCTCCATGGGAAGCTCAAGTCTCTGGGGTGACTATGAAGAAAAGGGTGTGGGCTGGCGGAGCAGTGGGCAGGGCTTTCTCCTCGGGGGGTCTCCTTCCACCTGAGACAAGCCAACCCAGCAGCTACTGCCCAGCAGAAGCATGGCCATGGCTGTTTCCCGACTCGGTCTCTGAGGGTGTGGGGCCAGATCTCTGAAGGGGCTGCTGTGCGGGTTCCACCACCCCGGCCCCGGGGCCCCAGGTGATGCTGCTGCCAGGACCTACCACAGATGATGGGAGTAAATATGGCCATGCCCTGGTACTGCTGTTTAGAAATAGTCTTGTTCAAGATGAGACCTCCAAAACTGGGGAGAAGGTAGAGGACAAATGGTTAGTTTACCCTTGTAGGTGACCCACTTCACCCCTATATGGGATGTTTCATCAGCATTGCCCTCTCAGCTTAGTGAATACTTTCCTGACTCCTCCACAAAATCTGTTATAGCTAAGCTGGTTTCCCCAGGCTCCCCTGCACTACGCACACTTGCTGGTCCACCTCTGTTCTGAGCCTCTGCTGTTTCAGAAGGCCCATCAGATAATGTCAGCCCATTAAAAAAGTATGATAAACTCTGTTCCAAGGCCACCTAGCTGGCTGGGCTCTCCCACGTGACAGCGCCTGAACCGCCACTGAAATGCTTGTTTCCTGAGCAGAAAATGGAACCTGCAGGAGCATCCTCATGCTCCTTGTGCTCAAGGATGCCACAACAAGACCTCAACTCCCACCAGCCCCTGTAGCTTAGCAAAGGCTGCCCTGCCCCTCCAGCCCTGGACAGGTTAAATTGGTCTGTAAAAGGATCCCAGGAGCTTTCTGGAAGCAACAACATCTAGACCATAACAGCGTCTCCCTGAGATTTACAGTTAGAGAGCACCTCAGAAAAGACTGGGGTGACCCCCATCCAGGTCTACTAACAGAAAGGGCTCTGGAGGATGGAGTTTGAGGGTGGAAGACCTGAGCTCAGCTGAAGGGCCCAGGACCACTCATCCCTCAGCCCCCAGGTCCCTCCAGCTCTGCTGTACAAATGGTGTCCACAGAGCTGTTGCCTTGGAACCTGCAGCCTAGCATGGGTCGAGGCCAGTGAGAGCTCTGGCATCCCAGGAGGGGAGACCCAGGGTCCTGCAGCACCATGAGGGGACCATGGCGGCAGTGCACTCATCTGATATTCCCAGGTTCAGCTCTTCCTGGCTCTCCGGTGCTCCTGAAATTGTAAATAGGACTGCCTCTCAGAATAAGGAAGGCCTAAGGTTCTTGGTGAGAGGGAAAGAGATGAAGAACAAAGAGGTATGACTCAACCGGCACCATGATCATGGAGGAAGTGAGTGCCACCCTGGCTCCAGCTCTGCAGCTCTTAGGCTACTCTCCTTGTCCACAGGGCTGGGGGTGGCAGGGGAAGGGAGAAGGTGGTGGCAGCCCTCACTCACACTCACCTGCTGATGACCATCGCTAAGATGATTGGGAACCACCCGAACTTCAGGATCTTCATGATGGGTGGGTTCTGCTTGGCAATGAGGACCCACATGGGGATCAGGGCCATGAAGCCAATACAGACCAGCGGTGTTAGATATCGATTTTCTGTGGGGAGAGAGGGGATGTGTGCCAGGGCACATGAGCATGGCCTGCTGGGCCACAGCCTAGGCTGCAAAGATGAGGGGTAGGCTGAGAGCTAAGGGTGCCAGAGGTCTAAGGAGACACTTTTGTCCCTGGCAGCTTAAGGTAGACCACCTAACATCTCTCAAAGAATTTTTTACCATCTTATTAAAGCAACTTGGAGAAGCTCCTCTTTGTCCTCACTTCTCTTTTTTGCTATTTTCTTGACATAAGTACCCTCTTCCATCTCCTCCCACCCCAACCTTATTATTATTATTAATGGTGCATTGGTGGAATTGTGACATGGGTGAGTTGTGTGCTCAGCACTTCCCAAGCACAAACTCATTTCATGTTCTCAGCTACTCCTCAGATGGGCATATGTGAGACTACAGTGCAAAGAGGTGGCCCACCAGGATTCAAGCCAACACACAGAAATCAGGACTGAAGCCAGAGTTAATTAATGATGCCAGTCCTGCTGCTGGCTGAGGCCAGCCCAAGGTGACCTTCTTGGCAACCAAGAGTCTCCTAGGGCCCAGAACATGGCCAGCTTTGAAGCTACTCATGCCCTCTGTCCTTTTTCTCAAGCTGGAGTGAGCCATGAAAATGGACTGATGCCACCTGCCCCCTGGCACTCAGGGTTGTGACCATGTTCAGAATCCACACTTAATAGATCCAAACAATTATGGGTGGCCAGTTTAGGGGGCAAGTGACCACTGTGATGCTCAGAGTGGAGTAGTCAGCTGTGCAAACCTAGCCGGTGAGAACCATCTGGCAAGAGGCATGCTGCCTATCTACACGGCCCAGGGTGTGAGCAAAGCTCGGTGCTCCCAGGGCAGACCTGGGGAGACCCCTGGCAGAATCAGGCCCTTGGCCTCGAGGGCTTGTCATATAAGATGTGTCAGTGCCTCCCTCAGCTGCTGACCAGGACACTGGGCTACCTTCGGAGGAGCCGTGGGCCTCTCCTGCCTCACATGGGTACAGAGAGCACAGGCTACTGCCGCTGCCCATGGCTGTGACATTCGTCCTTGGGAGTCCCTTCCTGGGGTTTGTATGCGTCCAGTGTGAATTGCCTTCCCATGGAACTCTGTTAACCTATGAGGATGCACTGAAATGGCCAGGCCAGCCTCCAGCCCTCCCTGGCCTCCTCTGGCACCCTTGACCTAAGGCGGAGACTGATAACCTATGTGCCAACCTGAATGGTTGGGAGAGCTTCAGGTACCTGCTGGAGAACACCTCAAACTTGTTGAATGACCTCAGGCTTTGCCTCTGGAAAAGTAGGATTTCTGATCCTATGGCAGACCCCAGAGTTTCCTTTCTGTGTGACGGCTTCCTGATTTGAATACTGCAAGCTGGGTGCGGACGTTGGACCCAGCCTTGCCTATGGACCCCTCCTCTCTGGGGCACTCCTTACCTCTGTGTTTATAGAAGAAGCTGCTAACAAAAGCCAGAATGGACAATGTGATGAGGTCCCCCAGGCTGGCAGCAATAGGTGTGGCAATGTTGTCTGGGTTGACTCCGAACTTCCGAGCGCCAATCACTATACAGACCATCAGCATTCCTGCAGAGAAGAAACACAGGAAACTCAAAGCACAGGATGAGAAGGTGGTCAGGGGGCTGCTCGGTAACTCACGTCTAACCACGCAGATCTGGCCTGGAGCCACACTGCTCTGACACTCCACTTGACCGCTACACTGGAGCCTGAGAAGGCTGTGCGGGGGCGGGGGGGGGGCGGGCAAGACCCCATGACTTGTGGCTGTAATGTCAAGGAGCAGCCTGAGAGCTTTGATGATACACTCAAACCCATGGGGGAGATAGCAGGAAGGTGATTCCTGGGCTCCCAAAAAACCTAGAATTACAGACACGAAGTTCACAGCCCTTCACTACAGGAAAAATGACTTTGAAACTGCTCTGAGCAGTGGAGCCCCGGGGGCAGAGCATCGCCTCCTGTGTCCCTTGGCATCCCTGGAGAAACAGGTGCCTCAGTGGGATTGGCCACAGGAGACGTTTGTTAGGAGCAAAGTCTGTGAGAGGGAGTACTGGCAGGGGCGGAGAGTGCTGGGAGAGCCATAGGGTGGCATGTAGGTGGCCCAGGGTAGGAAGAGAGGGAAGGATGTGGAAGCACATGCAGACTGCAGTGCAGTGCCCACAGTGGGGCCGTATCTCTGGGGAACAGGAGCCCGGCAAGGTGCAGGCAACAGGTGGCCTCTGCTGGGGAAGGTGGCTGGATTTTCAGGTGCCGTGCTGGAGACCCCCCAGGGTCTTACTTCCCATCCCAACCCTGTGTTCTGAGGCGAGTGTCATGTACCATCTTCCAGCCCTCAGCCACTGCCTAGGACTTAATCCACTGGGTCTTTAAGAAGGTACTTTGTATCTTGGCTATTGTTGTTTTAACACTTTACCCGGGATTCTGTAACTCTAAATATAATTATCACCTCAATGCCATACTAACGCTGCCACCACTGGCTTCAGTCTGTGCCTTATTTTGTGACCAGCTCATAGCTACTTTATCTCTTTTGAAATGTCAGTTCTAAGTGAAGTTGAGTCTGCGCAGCTGATGATCTGGTGACAGTCCCATGGGACTACATAGACACCACCAGTTTGAGAGCACTTCCCACCACCTGGCTTTACAGCACAGTCATGCTAAGGTCCCACTATGAGCCACCAGCAAAGTTTTGGAACGTCTACACATCTCTGGATCACGAGGCTATGTCCATGCTGCTGAGCTGCACTTCGGTTTCCTCATCTATAAAATGGGAGCTAGAAATGGCATTCTCACAGGATCCCACAGGAACAGGAGTGCCCTCCTGAATCATCTGATTGTGTTGTATTCAGAGGAGACTTCATGTCAAAGATCTCCTGGGCTCTAATTCTCCAGAAGGTATGGCGCACTCATCCTGTTCTTTCCTTGGCCAGACTGGTACACGAACCTGACCAGGAGCACACATCCTACCCAGGGAAGCAGAGTTTGTGGATCCCTTCCTGGGTTTCTGCCCTCCTACCCTCCCTCCTGATTATATATATACATTAACAGAGGGAGGAAGAGAGGCCGCCAAATAACCTGCCACATTATCTTACAGAACGCTGAGCTCAAAGGTGTTTTGTGAGCAGTCAGCTGAGGGACAGAAGAGCAAATGCAAATCCAATTTACATTTTCACTTATTCTTTCCTGCGCTTGCACACGGTTTGCAAGAGATGGTCAGACATGCAGTCCAGAAGAGAACCAGAATTAAGTCTATTCATTCAGCAAACATTTAAGAGTTGGTAATATGCCTATTTTAGGTACTGAAAATAACCATCAGGCTCTGTATTCATACAGTAAATGTTTGTCAGGTGGAAGAACAGACAGTGCCCAATAAATGATTAAGCATTTGAAGTACACAAACAGGACATGAAAAGAAAGCATAACTGTCAATGGGGGCAGGGGAGGGAGGCTTCCCTAGATTTCTGATCAGCGAGGGCTCAGAAAGGAGATACTTGGCACTTTGCTGAAATTATCTATGTGCTCATGTACAGATGTCTCACTCTGCATCAGAATATAAACATCGCAACATGGTGCAGTCACTCAACAGAGCATCCCTAGCACTGCAGCGGTGCCTGGCATGCAGTAGACACTCAGTAAGTGCTGAGTAACGAGCGACTAGGTGACATTCTATGGTAACTGCCCAGTCACTGTGGTTGCTACTGACATGCATGAGCTCCCTGAAGACAGGGTTATATCTGTCAATGCTTGTGTCTTCCTGCCTTCTGCATACATGTAGGAAGATCTGATGTGTGGCAGGCAGTGTGATCAGGGCAGAATAGGAGAAGCAGGGCCCCTCTCTGAGGAGCTGACATTTTAGCTAGCAGGTGAGACAGCAAATGAATGGAAAAAGTGGATAATTACAGATTTTCACAAGTGCTATAAAGGAAAATAGGTACATGGTGCAGAAGAGCATGGTGGCAACTGGGGGAAGGGTAGAGGGCAGAATTTGTTCAAACGTAGTCAGAAAAGACATCTCTGCAGAGATGACATTGAAGTTAACATCTGAGCCTTGCTCCTCACCGTGACTGCAGCCTCCAGAGCCTACCACAGGCCCATATGCAAGCCATGCTCAAGAAAAGTTTACAGACTGACTGACTGAATGAGTAAGTGAATGGATGGAAGGATGGGTGGATGGATGAATGAGGAGATGAATGTGTCTAATGAGTGAAGTCCAGTTTTTTAAACAAGCAGAGGGAAGAGAAGTGGAGTCAGCAGCTCACTCGGCACACACACCCTGCCTAGGAGCAGACTCATCATCCTCCCTGCCCACCTTTAATTTAACAGGGGTCTTAGAAACCCAACAGGCTCTCCTCCTTACCCTGGCAGGACAGGTGAGGCTTCATCATCGGCACTCCCATCTTTCACATCTCAAGGAATTGAAACAAAGAGCTGAGAGCAGAACACTGAGGAATGGGGCAGGGAGAGATCCAGGAGAGGGTGGTCACTGGGGTGGGGGCACAGCTCACCAAGGGCAAATGCGGCGAGGAAGGCAGTGATGATGCTGCTGGCACACAACAACTCCACCTTTGCAATGTCTAACTGCTCCCTAGACACAGCACCCAGCAGCAGGGCAGCCACAGCAGCCAGGAGCCCCACAACTGTGGCCTGCACCTGTCAGGGCAGAAATCAGAAACATGAAGGAAGGTGCCTCTGACCACCATTGCTCCTCTCTGCCTTTCACTCCGCCTCCTCTCTGACTTGGAGATGTCAGTATGCCACTCATCACTACCTCCCTTCCCTTGCCCTAAAATCTGCCAGTGGCCCCTCCAACCTGGTAAAGACAAAGACTGACACCTTGCTTCAATCCAACTCCCTTGAAAACTACTGTTTTCCTATTCTGCAGCTAGTTCAGTGCCATCTTCCATCAGGAAATCTTAATCTTTTCCTCAGCCCTTGGCCAAGGGCCCCTAGTCTCTTGCTCATGGCTCCTCTCACTGCTCTGGGCAAAAAGTGCTCTGTAATCTCCAGCTACCCAGACAACCAACCTCCCCTACAAGGTGAAAACATTCCATGACCCACAGTTACACCTTAGGAGTCTCTGTGCACACTTTCCATCTCTCTCCCTGACTTTCCTTCCTAGGCACTTGCCCTTTGTGCTAGTATTCCCCTTTCTCTACATTCTCCTCAATCCCAGCTGCAGTTCCCATCTCATCTCATCTCATCTCATCTCATCTCATCTCATCTCATCTCATCTCATCTCATCTCAGTGGAGACACAGCACTGCCACTCACTCAAGCCAGTACTGTGAGGTGCAGGTCGGAATATCAGATACTGGCATCTGTTATCAGTACAGTTGACCCTTGAACAACATAGGCATTAGGGGCACTGACATGCTGTGCAGTTGAAACCTGTGTATAACTCGTGACTCCCCCAAAACTTAACTACTCATAGCCTACTATTGACCAGAAGCCTTACCATAACATAAAGTCAATTAACACATATTTTGTGTGTTATGTGTTTTATATACTGTATTCTTACAATAAAGTAAGCTAGAGAAGAGAAAATTAAGAAAATCATAAGGAATCATACATCTATGGTACTATATTTATTGAAACAAATCTGTACAGAAACAGACCTGCAGGGTTCAAACCTGTGTCAACCAAGGGTCAACTGTAATTCAAATGTCTCAATGGAAACATGCTGTGTTATAAAGAAGGTTGAATAAACGGGGAACTCTACCATATATGTGGATGAAAAATGTTCCCCAAGTTAGCCTATGTAATTCCCATCAAAGTCCCAACAAGACTTTTCATGGCACTTAACAACTCATCTTAAAATTCACAAAGATGAGTAGATGTACAAGAACAGCCAAGACAATTTGAAAAAAAAAAAAGATAAAGAGGAAGTTAGGGCATATTCATTATCAAGACATAGTTTTGGGAGGCAGGGCAAGATGGCAGAAGAGTAGGGTCCCCAAGTCACCTGTCCCTACCAAATTACCTAGATAACTTTCAAATGATCCTGAAAATCTACGAATTCGGCCTGAGATTTAAAGAGAGAACAGCTGGAATGTTACAGTGAGAAGAGTTCATGCTTCTATCAAGGTAGGAAGACAGAAAAAACTAAATAAAAAAAGCATCCAAGGGGGAGGGGCCCCACGAGGACCCGGGCTAAGACTGCCCGGCCAGTGCCCCCAGGACAGGAAAGCCCAGGCCCGGAGAAGCAGGAGCTTTACAAACCTTACCGGACAGAAAGGCGCTCACAGGGAGCTCGGGCAAGACCCCAGGAGGGGCACGGTTGCCCACAGGCTGCCAGGGGCACGAACAGAGGATCTGCGCCCCAGGGGAGAGTTTGCCACACCCCGCAGCCGAGCTCCCTAAAGGGCTGCAGCCCCCGCCTGGTGGGGACCCGGGAGCAGCTGGGCGGGGGGGGGGGGGCGGCTCAGGCGGCGGCTCCACACGGGGGGGGGGGTGGGGGGGTGCGAGCCCTGGGAGCGATTGCAGCTGTGCAGGCCCCGGAGCCCAGGGCGCCGGGGGACAGAGCCCAAGATCCAGCTCTCCCTCCGGGATGGGAAGAGGCCAGGAGGGCCCAAGACAGCGAGGACGCTCCTGCCCCCAAGCTGTGCAGATCGGCGCCCCCCGCCCCTGGAGCATCCAGGACCCTGCAGACTGAGAGCTGCGGTAGTTATTGCGGGAGCTGACTCCAGGGCTGAAGAGCTGGCAGCCGCCACTGTTGTTGTTCCTACTGGTGTCACCTTGTGCCTGGGACTGAGCAGGGGCCTCACAGGATAAACAACTCCCATTGAGCCCTACACTTGGCAGGGGGCTGGGCATCTCCCCCAGGTGCACACACCTGAGAATCAGCACAGCAGGCCCCTCCCCTAGAAGACCAGCTGGAAGGACAGGGGAAAGCAAGTTATTGACCAAGCAGCACTGGAAAATTCCAGGGGAAGTTGAGGGATTTATAGCATATAGAATCAGAGGATACTCCCCCTTGTTTTTTGTTTTCTGTTTGCTTCCCACCAACTTTTTTCTTTTCTTCTTCTTTTTTTTTCTTTTTCTTTTTTTCTCTTCTCTTTCTCTCCTTTTTTCCAGTACAACTTGTTTTTGGCTACTCTGCACTGAGCAAAATGACTAGAAGGAAAAACTCACATAAAAAGAAAGAATCAGAAACAGTCCTCTCTCCCACAGAGTTAAAAATCTGGATTACAATTCAATGTCAGAAAGCCAATTCAGAAGCACAATTATAAAGCTACTGGTGGCTCTAGAAAAAATCATAAAGGATTCAAGAGACTTCATGATGGCAGAATTTAGATCTAATCAGGCAGAAATTAAAAATCAATTAAATGAGATGCAATCCAAACTAGAGGTCCTAACGACGAGGGTTAACGAGGTAGAAGAACGAGTCAGTGACATAGAAGACAATTTGATGGCAAGGAGGGAAACTGAGGGAAAAAGAGAAAAACAATTAAAAGATCATGAGGATAGGTTAAGGGAAATATATGACAGCCTCAGAAAGAAAAATCTATGTTTAATTGGGGTTCCCGAGGACGCTGAAAGGGACAGAGGTCCAGAATATGTATTTGTATGTATTTCATAGCTGAAAACTTTCCTAATCTGGGAATGGAAACAGGCATTCAGATCCAGGAAATAGAGAGATTCCCCCCCCCCCTAAAATAAATAAAAACCGCTCAACACCTCACATTTAATAGTGAAGCTTGCAAATTCCAAAGATAAAGAGAAGATCCTTAAAGCAGCAAGAGACAAGAAATCTCTAATATTTATGGGGACAAATATTAGATTAACAGCAGATGTCTCCATAGAGACCTGGCAGGCCAGAAAGGGCTGGCAGGATATAATCAGGGTCCTAAATGAGAAGAACATGCAACCAAGAATACTTTATCCAGCAAGGCTCTCATTTAGAATAGAAGGAGAGATGAAAAGCTTCCAAGATATGCAAAAACTGAAAGAATATGTGACCACCAAGCCAGCTCTGCAAGAAATACTAAGAGGGATGCTGTAATAGAATGAGGAAGTCAAAGGGAACAATCCACAAAAACAAGGACTGAATAGGTATCATGATGACACTAAACTCATATCTGTCAATAGTAACTCTGAACGTGAATGGGCTTAATGGCCCCATCAAAAGGCGCAGGGTTTCAGACAGGATAAAAAAGCAGGACCCATCTATTTGCTGTCTACAAGAGACTCATTTTAGACAGAAGGACACCTACAGCCTGAAAATAAAGGGTTGGAGAACCATTTACCATTCAAATGGTCCTCAAAAGTAGCAGGGGTAGCCATCCTTATATCAGATGAATTAAAGTTTATCCAGAAGACGGTAGTAAGAGATGAAGAAGGACACTATATCATACTTCAAGAATCTATCCAAAAGAGGACCTGACAATCATGAATATTTATGCCCCAAATGTGGGAGCTGCCTAGTATATCAATTAATAACCAAACTTAAGACATACTTAAGATAATAATACCCTTATAGTTGGTGACTTGAATGTAGCACTTTCTACAATCGACAGATCTTCTAAGCACAACATCTCCAAAGAAACAAGAGTTTTTTCTTAAATAATAAATTTATTTTTATTGGTGTTCAATTTACGAACATACAGAATAACACCCAGTGCTCATCCCATCAAGCGCCCCCCCAGTGCCCGTCACCCATTCACCCCCACCCTCCTCCCCTTCCATCACCCCTAGTTCGTTTTCCAGAGTTAGGAGTCTTTATGTTCTGTCTTAAATGATAGACTGGAATAGATGGATTTCAAGATATTTGCAGAACTTTACATCTAAACGCAACTGAATACACATTCTTCTCAAGTGCACATGGAACTTGCTCCAGAATAGACCACATACTGGGTCAAAAATCAGGTCTTAACCAGTACCAAAAGTTTGGGATCATCCACTGCATATTTTTAGACTATAATGCTTTGAAATTAGAACTAAATCACAAGAAGAAGTTTGGAAGGATTTCAAACACGTGGGGGTTAAGGACCATCCTGCTAAAAGATGCAAGGGTCAACCAGGAAATCAGGGAAAAATTAAAAGGATTCTTGGAAACTAAAGAGAATGAAGATACAACCATTCAAAATCTTTGGGATACAGCAAAAGCAGTCCTGAGGGGGAAATACATCGCAATACAAACATCCGTCCAAAAACTGGAAAGAATTCAAATACAAAAGCTAATCTTGCATCTAAAGGAGCTAGAGAAAAAACAGCAAATAGATCCTACACCCAGAAGAAGAAGAGAGTTCATAAATATTTGAGCAGAACTCAACGAAATGGAGACCAGAAGAACTGTGGAACAGATCAACAAAACCAGGAGTTGGTTCTTTGAAAGAATCAATAAGATAGATAAACCATTAGCCAGCCTTATTAAAAAGAGGAGAGAGAAGACTCAAATTAATAAAATCATGAATGAGAAAGGAGAGATGACCACCAACACCAAGGAAATACAAACCATTTTAAAAACATATTATGAACAGCTCTATGCCAATAAATTAGTCAATCTAGAAGAAATGGACGCATTCCTGGAAAGCCACAAACTACCAAAACTGGAACAGGAAGAAATAGAAAACCTGAACAGGCCAATAACCAGGGAGGAAATTGAAGAAGTCATCAAAAACCTCCCAAGACACAAGAGTCCAGGGCCAGATGGCTTCCCAGGGGAATTCTATCAAACGTTTAAAGAAGAAACCATACCTATTCTACTAAAGCTGTTTGGAAAGATAGAAAGAGATGGAGTACTTCCAAATTCGTTCTATGAGGCCAGCATCACCTTAATTCCAAAACCAGACAAAGACCCCACCAAAAAGGAGAATTACAGACCAATATCCCCGATGAACATGGATGCAAAAATTCTCAACAAGATACTAGCCAATAGGATCCAACGGTACATTAAGAAGATTATTCACCATGACCAAGTGGGATTTATCCCCGGGATGCAATAAAAAATAAATTTATTATTAAAAAAATTTTTTTAATGAACATCAATAAAAATAAATTATTAAAAAATGGAAAAAAATACACATTAAGAAATATATGGGAAAATGGTTCTCCTATACATAGATGGTAAAACTGATATAGGAATTTGTGGGGGGGGGTGGTAAATCTGGCTACAATTTATCCATATACTTTATGATCTAGCACTTTCCCAGGAAAACATTCACATATGTGAATAAAGAACCATGTAATAGTGATAATGATGGCTGGAGCTGATATTTACTAAGTGCTTACTATCTGCTAGTCTAAGTGATTTTCTATTTATTAAGTCACTTTAAAAGCACAAGTTACGGAATTATATGTACAGTGCAATACATTTTATGCTTAAAAAACACAGAAAGTTGTATCATGTATTGTCTATGGGCACATACTTACATCAGCAAATGCAGAAAGCCATTCAGAAGAATACTTTCAATGCTGGTGAGGTTATGGAGAAACTAATAATTGAAATATTAATACTGCTATTATTATTTGCTATTAAGAATTCAAATATTTTATAATCCTTTTTTGAAAAATCCAGAACTTTAAATTGTTCAAACCTTGTGAACTTGTGGGAAGAGCTCTTAAGAAGTACATGCAAAAAGAGAACAATTTCATTGCAGTATAATTTGTCGAGTAGAAGCCTACAAACATTTGCAGGTGCATCCTCGTGGTGACAATCAAATGAAGTGGAACAGGGCTGAGTTTGGACAGTTTGCCTTGGCCCTTCCAGACCAGCTCTCCGTGGGCCCTACAAGTTGTTAAATATTGTGGGTATATTTGTTTTTTTTAAGAGTTTTTTTAAATTTATTTATTCATGAGAGACAGAGAGAGAAGCAGGCAGAGACATAGGCAGAGGAAGAAGCAGGCTCCATGCAGGGAGCCAGATGTGAGACTCGATCCTGGTTCTCCAGGATCACATGCTGGGCTGAAGGCAGATGCTCAACTGCTGAGCCACCCAGGCGTCCCTGTGGGTATATTTGTGATAGAGTACAGTTATTAAAAGCTCAATTATGAAATTTATTGTACCACTTACGATTTAGTGTTAAGCTTTTCTAAAAATGGAAGAGAAAAAATTATATCCATGCATGATCAGGACAATATCTAAGCCAGTGCCTGGCCCAGAGTGGGACTTAATGAATGCTAAGAATCAATCAGGGGATCCCTGGGTGGCTCAGTGGTTTGGTGCCTGCCTTTGGGCCGGGGTGTGATCCTGGGGTCCTGGGATCAAGTCCCGCATTGAGCTCCCAGCATGGAGCCTGCTTCTCCCTCTGCCTGTGTCTCTGCCTCTCTCTCTCTCCCTCTCTATCATAAATAGATAAATAAATAAATCTTTTTTTTTTTAAAAGCATCAATCATGCGGAAATGTGCACACCTATGGACCAGGATTCGCTGACTGAGGGGTTTATTACCTGCCCCTTGCCAGACCCTCTGTTAAGGGTATCAGGAGCATCTCATTTAGTCTCCAAAGTTCTTTAGCCACAGGCCATGGGCCTGGCCCACATGACTCAGCTCAAGTGGAGAAGGCAGACATCTAAACACAGAATTGCAACCAGGGCCACCCCAGCAGCATGTGCAAGGCCCCAAAGAGTACCCAGTGTCGAGCTGGACCTGAGACCCAACTGGAGCTTCACTGCCGGGAGAACAGAAGAGAAAGGACAGTCCAAGGAGAGACAACCACATATGCAAAGGAACATGAGGCTGTAGGACAGGACCAGACCAGGAGCATCTCTGGGCTGGACCGACATTTGGATGAAAACAACCAGCAACAGAACTTTAGGAGAAGGATTCTTGATCAGGTTTCGGATTTAGAAAAGGTCACTCAGGGGCCATCCAGAGGAGGACTGGAGAGGAAGAAGCCTGGGACAGAACAGTGAAGAGGTTTTCAGTCAGTGAGGCCAGAGACCAAGAGGCCAAGGTGAAGAGGAAAAGCAAGGCTGATTCAAGCACAACTCAGAGGCAGACTCCTCAGCAACTGGACATAAGGATGAAGAGCAGAGAGATTCTGAGGGCAAGTTGGTCTCTAGCCTGGTTAATGGGCCCAGCAACCACGATTGTGAGACTACCACAAGCTGGCCAGGTGCGACAGCCCTCCACAATTAACACTTCACAATGGCCCATCTTATACATAAGGTGAGGTGACTTGCCCAAGGGCCACCAGCTGGTCAACCTCCAAAATGAGCTTTCAACCATCAAACTCTTTAGGGTTGGGAACTTCACTAGAGAGGAGTGTGAGAAGATGAGGTGATGAGGCCAGATCTGGCTAAGCTGTTTCGGGGATGCTTCTGGGACAGGTAGATGGAGATGCCCAGTGGGTAGCTAGAAAAAGGGACTCTGGAACTCAGGTGAACTAATTCGATAGAGAGATACAGCTAAGCAAATCTTGTGTGTCCTGCACAAGGCCACCCAGTTGATAAATGACAGCCTTAACTCCAGGCCCATCTGATCTGAGTCTGGGTTGTTTGAGTGGCCAAAGAATCCCATAGGATCTGGATGAAGCCACTTATTCTCCTGCCTTGAGCCAACCTTTTCTCAGTTTCCCCATGCCCCAGACTTCCTGACTCTGTAATACTCTGAGATTCCGAGGATGAGAATTTAGCCCAATGAGGGTCTGCTAGAAGGAGGTACAAGTCTGACTGAGCATGAAACATTTAAGGGACAAAGGCATAGAGGAAGGGGGGGCAAAGTATCCTGCAAAGGCTAAAAGGAACAGGCTGAGAGGCAGGATGGTGACCTAGGAGGACCCTCCAGGCAGGAAGAATCACAGATGCTCTAGAAAAAGTAAGTAGGATCATGCGTATGAGGTGAGCAGAAGGTATGCCAATTAGGATGTCAGTGACCTTGGCAAGCACAACTTGAGTCAAAATAGGGGGAAGAGAGAGCTGTTAGCTCCGTCCAGGCTATGAGAAAGAGGAGTGAGTAAGTACAGGTGAATCTTTCAATAAGCCGGTCTTAAAAGACAGGTGGAGGTGGTCGCTAGAGAGACCTTAGGTTCCTAGAAGCAGCATCTACTTTCAGGTAGACATGCTGGTGCCCTGTAGTTGAGCTGAGCCTCCAGGTGCTATATGAGTGTGGTCTGGTAGGTGCAGGGTGGACAGGTGGCCCATTCCCGAAGTTCAGTCCAGAATGCAGGGATAAGCACTTACTTAGTTGTCACCTTTCCTATCTGGAGCAGGCCTGGAAGATTCAAAAGCAGGGAGGAGAGTCATCGATTGGACAAAGGAGAGAGTCACCTGAATGAGGGCGAGGTTACTGCTGATCACTCTGTGCTGCTCCTGGGGATCATCAATTTGTCCAGTGTTGGCCTAGGATGGAGAGAAAAGGACAAAGGGTAAGTCTGGCCAGGCACAAAGCCAGGCCAAGCCTTCCTGGAAAAGGCAGTCTCTCAGGAGAGAAATCAGCAAATATCATTTCATTGACATTAGAACAAGTTATTCTGGCCAGCTTTCAAAACTGACTGGGGGTGGGAAACATAAGGACAGAAGTCCTTTTAAGAATAAGATGGTGTCACAGACCATCTCTCCCATGCTCAAGTACACATGACATTCCAGGGCCACCTGACTCTCAAGCTCATCCACAGACAGCAGGGAGAAGACTCCTGCTGGGAAGCCAGCTTGTGCCCTCAGCCAGGTCTTTGGCCACGTTCTCCCCAACACCCACAATTCCCTTCTTCCCCCTCCTCCAGCAAGTCACATCTCAGATGACCACTAATCACCCCAACATGACCCCTGCAAATCATCCCATTTAAGAAATGCTTAAATCTTTCTTCTCTCAGGATAAAAAAACAAGATCAGAAATATGATTTCTTCCTTTAAAAATGGTAGTCAGCTCCTAACTTCATAGCACTTGCCAGCAAAATTTGGGACATAGATAAATGTATTTTCCTAGCTCCTTTGTACTGAGTTCATGAAGTTCCTGAACTCCAAGGGAAAAATGGAATTACTTTTCATGAACAAATAAGGGGATACTTTTGTTTTTGGCATGATGGACTCCTCAGATGCACCAAGGAACACCCATGGAGTCCCAGGTGACTCTTCCTTCACAAATAGACAGGTACCCACCTCAGGGGTGCTCACAGGGACAAGGGACCAAGGTGGAGCAGAACATAGCCACAGAGCTGCCCTGTGCCAAACAGCAGGCTTGTTTCCACTCTCTGCTCCCCACTGCACTAGGTGCTTACTGGACTCCGCATGCCTGTTTGTTGTTTCCTATCAGTCAGCCAACTCCAACTCTAGTACTCTTCAGTTAAGGGGTGCTACTGGCCCATGACCCCTGAGTATGTATCAGAAAGGCATTCCTTCTCAAGATGTGATATTTCCAAGTTGAGGCTAAACAGGAAAGGGAGTGTTGCTAAGAGGTGCAGGAGGAGGAGGGGAGGGCTGGGGAGCTAGCAGACCTCATAGAGATGAGGGAGGAAGAGCACTAGAGGGAAGGGAGCCATGAGAAGAGGTGGGATGTTAAGTAATAGGATTTTGGAGCATGTGTAAGTATTTCAAGACCAGGCAAGGGGCCTGGGCAGCTGAAGTGGAATGGAGGTGAACATCACTGGAGAGGAAGCTGTCCAAAAATTGGGAGGCTTGGGTTTGGGGTGAGTTATCTATGTGGATGCTGAGATAGTCCAGGATGCTGGTGGGATTTGGTGTGAACATCATTAGATGGTCCATTTTCTAGGACTGTGGGGAACTTATTAAGCCAGTAAGAGGCAGAGAAGGAAGCAGGGCAAGATAGTGAAGACCAGGCCAGTAGGATAAACCACAGGGAGGAGACCCAGGGGCCAGGTCTCAATCAAGGAGATGGACACAGCTCTACCCTGGAATGGCAGTCCCAGAGATGTTAGGGTAAGAGCTGGAGCAACAAAGCCAGTCTAGGGGCACCTGGGTGGCTCAGTAGTTGAGCATCTGCCTTTGACTCAAGTCATAATCCGGGGGTCCTAGGATCGAGTCCTGCATCGGGCTCCCTGCAGGGAGCCTGCTTCTCCCTCTGCCTGTGTCTCTGCCTCTGTCTCTCATGAATAAATAAATAAAATCTTTAAAACAAACAAACAAACAAAGTCAGCCAGCCTAAGCACAGGCTTGGTGGCTTTTTGCTAAGAATGCAAAGAGAAAATCAGTGAAAGTTGGGGCATCTATTAGAGTGATCAACTTAGATTCATCTCAGCAGAAGAGGTTGGGGAGGCCCTTCCCAAATGTGCATTTAGATCACATACACTTGAACATTTTAAAATGTCTTTTAATGTTTAACAGGCATAGGGGTTCTACGTGAAATCCTATGGGATCCTATCAAAGTTTTAGGTTTTCTAAATCTTTCCTTACTGGCTGCATCAAACAGGCTGTTTTCATCGATTCAGACTGTGATGATGAAAGGTACCCTCCAGGTACTTCCCTGGGTCTGGATTGTGCCTGGAAGGCTGACACATAGAGCTGCATATACAAGCTAGCTCCCTTGCCTTGTTGTTTCTGGTTGGTTCTGACCAATGGGAGTCATGGAAAGGCCCCAGCAGGACAGCAAAGGTGAGAATGGGGTAGGTGTATCTCTGTGAACTTCCCACTGCCCCGTGGCTGTGTTCCTTCACACAGACCTTCAGCTCCAGCCAGATGGCCCTCTCCTACAACTGACAGGTTGTAGGTTCAGCTCTCCAGGGTTCTGAGAACCATCCCCACTCCCACCCATCCTCTTGCCCCTTTAGGCCTAGACTAATCATCACTTCCTGTTGTTGCCAGTCCTGGGTGCTTCACTGGATCTTGATGGTTTCCCATAACCCTGTCCACAACTTGGTCAATAAACTGTTCATTGAACTCTGGCTCAAATCCCATCAGTATGTTCCACCTCTAGTGGTCCTTTTGTTTTATTTTGCTCTGTTCTTCTTTTTTCCTTTATTTTCTGGCCTCTGACTTCTTCGGAGTTCTCTAGGGTGTATTTTACATAGGACGTGGTTAATATTTTTGACTCAGCCCGCTCATACAGTCACTCTACACTGGACAAAATGACTAGAAGGAAGAATTCACCACAAAAGAGAAAACCAGAACCAATACTCTCTGTCACAGAGTTACTGTATGTGGATTCAAATACAATGTCAGAAATTCAATTCAGAAGTACGACTATAAAGATACTGGTGGCATAAAGGACTCTAGAGACTCTGTTACTGCAGAACTGAAACCTAATCAGGCTTAAAGATACTTTAACTGAGATTCAATCCAAACTGGATGCTTTATAACTGCTAGGGTTAATTAGGTGGAAGAGTGAGTGACATAGAAGACAATTTGATGGCAAGTAAGGAAGCTGAGGAAAAAAGAGAAAAACAATTAAGAGCCCATGAGGAAAGCCTTAGGGAAATAAATGATAGCTTGAGAAGGAAAACTATACATCTAATTGGGATTCCAGAAGAGGATGAGAGAGAGAGAGAGAGAACCACAAAGTATATTTGAATAAGTCATAGCTGAGAACCTCCCTAATATGGGGAAGGAAACAGATATTCAGACCCAACAGATAGAGGACCCCCCAAAAAATCAATTAAAAATGTTCAACACCTCACCTCGACACTTAATAGTGAAAATTGCAAATTTCAAAGATAAAGAGAAAATTCTTAAATTCAACAGCAAAGAAACAAACAGTCCAATCATGAAATGGGCAAAAGACATGAACAGAAATTTCACCAAAGAAGACATACACATGGCCAACAAACACATGAGAAAATGCTCTGCATCACTGGCCATCAGGGAAATACAAATCAAAACCACAATGAGATACCACCTCACACCAGTGAGAATGGGGAAAATTAACAAGGCAAGAAACCACAAATGTTGGAGAGGATGTGGAGAAAGGGGAACCCTCTTGCACTGTTGGTAGGAATGTGAACTGGTGCAGCCACCCTGGAAAACTGTGTGGAGGTTCCTCAAAGAGGTAAAACTAGAACTGCCCTATGACCCAGCAATTGCACTGCTGGGGATTTACCCCAAAGATAAAGATGCAGTGAAATGCCAGTTCACCTGCTCTCCAATATTCATAGCAGCAATGTCCACAATAGCCAAACTGTGGAAGGAGCCTCGGTGTCCATCGACATATGAATGGATAAGGAAGATGTGGTCTATATATACAATGGAATATTACTCAGCCATTAGAAATGACAAATACCCACCATTTGCTTCAATGTGGATGGAACTGGAGGGTATTATGCTTGGTGAAGTAAGTGAATCGGAGAAGGACAATCATCATACGGTTTCACTCATACAGGGAATATAAAAAAGTAGTGAAAGGGATTATAGGGGAAAGGAAAGAAAATGAGTGAGAAAAAGTAGAGAGGGTGAGAAAACATGAGAGACTCCTAACTCTGGGAAACGACAAGGGGTAGTGGAAAGGGAGGTGGGTGGCGGATGGGGTGACTGGTGACGGGCACTGAGGGGGGCACTTGACGGGATGAGCACTGGATGTTATACTATATGTTGGCAAATTGAACTCCAATAAAAAATATAGAAAGAAAGAAAGAAAGAAAGAAAGAAAGAAAGAAAGAAAGAAGAAAGAAAGAAAGAAAGAAAGAAAGAAAAATACACAAAAAGAAAGAAAAATATACACAGAAAGAAAGAAAAGAAAAGAAAAGAAAAAAGAAAGAAAGAAAGAAAGAAAGAAAGAAAGAAAGAAAGAAAGAATAGAAAAAGGAGAAAATGAAATCAGGATTTGGTTCTTTGGAAAGATCTACAAAATTCACAAATCTTTAACTACACTGACTAGGAAAAAGAAAAGACTCAAAACTAGAAATGAAAGATGGACATTATTATCAATCTCTATCAAAATCACAATGGTATTTTTTTGCAAAAGAGAATAATCCACTTAAAAATGCATATAAGGGGCAGCCCCAGTGGCTTAGTGGTTTAGCGCTGCCTTCAGCCCAGGGTGTGATCCTGGAGACCCAGGATCAAGTCCCACATCGGGCTCGCTGCATGGAGCCTGCTTCTCCCTCTGCCTGTGTCTCTGCCCCCTCCTCCTCTGTGTGTGTGTGTCTCTCATGAATAAATAAATAAAATCTTTTTTAATAGTGAAAGAGAATATAAGGGAAGGGAGAAGAAGTGTGTGGGAAATATCAGAAAGGGAGACAGAACATAAAGACTCATAACTCTGGGAAACAAACTAGGGGTGGTGGAAGGGGAGGAGGGCGGGGCGTGGGGGTAATGGGTGACGGGCACTGAGGGGGACACTTGACGGGATGAGCACTGGGTGTTATTCTGTATGTTGGTAAATTGAACACCAATACAAATTAATTTATTAAAAAAAATAAAAAAAAATAAAAATGGGAAAAAAAATGCATTATCAG